AAAAAGCGGGAGAGAGGCGGGTTGTAGTTCAGGATTTTAGGAAGAACATAAATGTTAAGGCAGCTTTTATGCCAAGTCTATTTTTGAATCGCAAACTGACAGGAGGGGATGAGCAATCTAAGTTGGCACAGTTTAAAAAATCTTTCTATAAAAATTAGAACAATATCTAAAATTATTTCCAACTTTTTTGCAAGATTTGAAAGTGTTAGGGAGGGTTTAATAGATATATCATGGGCGTAAGTGAGGGAGTACACATGTTACGATGATTTAAATATTATAAGCCTTGCCCGAGAGCATATTGCTAGTAAGCTATATCACTTTTTTTTGCATGATAGAGCTCCAATTATTGAACTAGTACAAATACTAACTTATAAAAAAGAAAGACTTGCAGTAGATACGGCGCAATGTGGTGAAAATAGATAAAGCTGAGAAGGTTCGTAGTTATTTTGCCAAACCCGCATTTTATCTATTTATTCCAACATTGTTAACAGCAATATTTACTCGTGGAACTATAGGTAATAGTTGTACTTATACTATAATAGTCATGCGGGCTTGTATAATTATTGGAGTGGTTACAACAATTTATCTTATAGTTCATGTAGCAGATTATAGGATTGAGATTGATAATTCACGTATTGAGCAGATTAATGTATAGCAGCAGTACCCTAATTTTTACATTAACTCAATTCTATACAACTTAATTTTGCACGGGGCCATAGTAGGCTTTGTGCTCTCTATGGCAATTGCAAAATTTTGACGTGAGAAGTAGTGGAAAATGATAAGTTAATTATATACACTCTTAATAATGAAATCTTAGTTAAAAAAGTTTAAGCTTTTGTGTATATCTTTATTTAATTTTAATTATGTGTGTTAACTACAATATTAGTACTAAAGTGATTCAATCTCTGTTAGAATTTACTAATCAAGAGGGGAATGAAAAACTCAGAGAGTTTATTAAGTATTTTTATAACTTTGTTTACAATAGCGATCTAAGAGTAAACAAAAAATTTTTACTTTATATTGTAAAAGATGCTTACAACTTTGTTTCTAAGAAAGAAAAAGATGAAAGCAAGTTAACAATATGTAATATTAACAATATACCAGGATTAGAAGGAAACTTTACTACGCTCAAGATAGTAAATGATGATATGCCCTTCTTAGTTGACTCTATTATAGCTAATATTAAATCACATAATTTAACTATATGCTATTATAGCAATAGCATCATTAATTTAAAAAGAAAAAGCGGTCTGATTGAAGGTATTTGCCCCTTAGAAGAAAGTTATGATAGCACAAAAGAGTCAGTTATATACCTAATCATCAAAGGCATAAGTGACAGCTTTGTTAATACACTAAGAGAATCTCTACGAAGAACACTGAAAGCGGTTAATTACTCCGTTAAAGATTGGAAACTAATGCTGAAGAAGGTTGATGAATTAAAAGATCAATCTCTTGCATCTAGTTTGCTACCTATAATTCAACAAGAGCGAGCAGATCGGCGTGATTTTTTGAATTGGCTA